ATTTCTTCAAAGTTTATTTTAATTTTGTTTTATTTTTCTTTTTTTTTTTGCCTTACAGTTGTATCAGATAATGTTTTATTCTTTGTTTTACGAGATTTTTTTATTATTTTAATATCATTTTGTATTTGAGTTGAAATTGATAATAAAGAATTTGATGGCAGTGTTTCTAATGACAAAGTGCGCTATATAGAGCAAAATGCATGAAATCTTTGTTTTTTTCAAGCGCACTCTGTTTATACTCTGAATAAGAAAAGAAAGTGCGCACAGTACACTATGAATTTTACAAATACACTATGTCCTACACAAAGATATTCTTTTCTTTGCATAACAAATGTCCATGTGTGCTTTCAACGCATTGACAGTAGCGCTTTCGAATTTTAAACAACTTTTTCATATTTGATCCTTTTCGTAACAAATGGGAAGCTTGCTGAATCATACAGAAGAAAATCGAGAAAAATAAATAAACAACAAAGAAAAGAGAAATAAAAAAAGAAAGAATTCTTACAATGTTTCCTTTTTAACTTGCAAAAAAAAATCGACAAAAGCCTTTCTATTCTTTTACTACTCATTTGACTTTTGTTTCAGTTCAAGATAAATATAAAATAACAAAAATAATCTAAGTGATAATAGTAACGACATTAACTGAATAATCTTGATGAACTCAATTGATAATGATGAAATGAAATCAACTGTTTTGATTTCTACTGATCAGATTCAGCAACAACAAGAACCAATAATCATTGATCTTGAAAACGAATCCACGTCAACATCTCCATTTATATCTTCGTCAATTCTTGTCAATGACAATTGTATTAAAAAAACGAATCAAATTATACATGTTGCATCATCGGAACCATCATCTTCGAAGCAAATAAATAATCATCGTACAATGGGATATTTATCTCGATGGGAAAAAGAACCTGAAACATATTATCGAACTATGATTTTGAATTCATCAGGTGAATTACAGGAAAGCCGTCAATGTTGGCTTCGAAAAAAACAAGATGAAAATGGAAAAATTACAATTGGTTGTTTTCTTTGTAACAAATACCAAATGATAAAGAATGCGAATGGAAAAATAAATCCATGGGCAACGTATGATTATTCAGTGTTAGCATTAAATAAAATTAAAGAACATGGATTATATAATGAAAAACATATTGAAGCTCAAGAACTTGAATTAAATAGTAAATCTAAAATTCAGCCTGATTGGAAAACAACTCAATCGATGATCTACACAAAACATCAACAATCTATTCAAAACCTAATGTTTACTGCTATTTTTATTTGTCAACAATATCATCCACTTAATAGTTTTGAACCACTATGTGATCTTCAAGAAAAGAATGGAGTAAATCTACTTCCTGCAGAAGTATCTGGTATTAATTACAGAAATGATTGTGCTGCTTTGTGTTTTCTTCAATATACTGCTCGAATTTTACATCAAGAATTAGTTGAAAAATTGAATCAAAGTCCAATACTAGGTGAATATTTTGTTTTCTCTTGACTTTTTCTACTTGTTTTCTTTTTAGGTTGGTTAATAGATGAATCCACGTCTCGTACTTGTGAAAAAAGCTGCATCGTTTATGCTCGTTATGTGGACAATTACGAACAAAAAACTGATTTTTATGGTTTAATAAATATGAATGGAGATGGAACGGCTCAACATATTGTTGATAAACTAGGTGAATTATGGGATGAAGATGGAATTAAGATGAAAAAAACGTGTTGGTTAGCTACAGACAACGCTTCAACTTTTACCGGTTTGGGAAAATTGTTATTCATTGTCGATTGTATTTTTTTTATTACCAGGAATTCACAATGGTGTTGCAGCTAAATTGAAAAAAAAATATGGAATTGATTATCTTGAATTAAATACTTGTGCTGCTCATTCATTTGCACTAGTTGGTAGTCATGCTGGAAAAGAACTTGTTGGTTAGATGTTTCGAGAGTAACCACATTCGAATCTAAACGTTTCTTTAATTTTAGGTGATGGTACAAATCGTGTTCGAACTCGAGAAGATGTAGCTCAATTTGAATCAAACTTAGGATAAATTTATAATTTTTTTCATAGTGCATGTCGTTTATCAATGTTGAAACATTGGCAAAATTTTCTCGATCTACCAGAACTCAAATTCAAATATTTGTTTGATATTAGATGGTCATCTATTCGTGGTTGTTTAATACCCATCATTAGTAATATTGAACCTGGTAAAAATATTTACTTAATCTCCAAGTAACGTGGTTTAACATCTGTATTCGGTTTAGGTCATCAAGCCTTATTTGCTACATTGAAACAAATTTCTGAAGATCAAGATTTTAGTCTTTCCGATCGTGAAAAAGCTCTCGATTTATATAATTCCATTCTCGATGATTCATTTTTATTTTATCTTCATTTTCATCATGATTTACAAGAATGTGTATCAGGTAACCTATTCTTACATAAAGAACTCACTGATATCGTTAACTTATTGTTTTAGGTGAATTAACAAAGATGATGCAAAACGATAATGTTTCTTATACAATTTTGAAGGATAAAATTCAGGAAAAAAAGAGTGTGTTAAATGGGTGGTTATCGGCTCCATCAGCTTTAATCTTTGATCAACATACCACCAATAACTTGAATTCAACAACATCGTGTTCCTGTGCATGGGGTCCATCTTTATCCAACTACATTCAACTTACATTAAATAAAACTTATGGTGCCTTCTCCATTGATACAAAAAATCGACAAATTGCCGAACAAAACTGTCGGTCTTACATAGAACGTTTTCTTATTGAACTTGATCGACGTTTTCCCATATCAAAGGTACAAGAAAGTTTAAGTAGATTATTTGATCTAGTATATTTATGTAAAAATGAAGAACTTGTTCGTCAAACTGGTTATGGACGTGAACAACTTGTCTTTCTCTCAAAAATATATAATCTACTCGATGATTTTGATCCAAAAAAGGTTTCAACCGAATGGGAATCTCTACGGCCATCATTAATCGCATATATTGCTATTGATGGCAAAAAATGTTCGAGAAAATTATTTTGGCAGGAATTTGTACTGTTGCAACAGTCAATCAATATCAACTTTGTTTATGATTACAAAAACATTATGTTGTTAGCGAAGGTTTATTTAGTTTCTCCAACAAACTCAGCTGCATGTGAGCGTGGTTTCAGTGCTTCAAATCGTATTCAAACAAATAGTCGTGCGCGTCTTTTGATCGAGACTTTAAATGTTTTACTTACTATTCGTTTACTTTTGCATAATGATATTCGAAGGTAAGAACAAGATAATGTGAGAAATTTCTTCTTCTATTATTTGATTATTTTTTAGCAAAAGGTGCCAACAAATCGTCGAAAAATCATTTGATCTTTGGAATAATCCAGATGAGAATCGTCGATGGAAACGAACAAAATTAATAATAGATATACCAGATGACTATGAACCAACACGACAAACTCGTGCAAGTAATATTAAAAGAAAACGAGCACAATCATTGAAACAGCATGATCCTAGTTCAAGTCGGCCAAAAAAGCCGAAAGCAACAGCTGTGAAGTGTGCTAATGGTTGTCGTCGAACGATCTCAAATGATGATCCATTTCAATATGATGCAATTCAATGCTGCCATCAGCTTGAGTATTATTCTTGGATCAATGATAATGAAGAATGTTCCCGATGGCTTTGTAATTATTGTAGAATAAAACTAGCAATTCCAACTGATTCAACAACTTGGTTTTGCAATGATCATGCTGACATGCATATAGAAGATGATACTTTTGAACAAGAACAATCATCTGAATTAATTTAATATATGAATAGTGGATGATCTATATATGAATATTGAAGGAAACGACAATTAAATGTTGTTTTTTATTTTATGAGTAGTTTTTTTGAAATTGTTGAACATTAAATAAGTATATATTAAAGGGTGATCAGAAAGTTTCGACCCCTCTTAGTAAATCGATAGTATTTATGGCACACTTATATATAGTTAATTGATCAAATTATGTGATCTTGTAGAGGAAGAGTAGAGCTATCATCTGA